ATATATATAATACTTTAATATTTATGTTATTTTAAATATAATATATGACTCATTTATCATATATAATCTTACAATTTTCATCTTTTTGACATGTCGTCAACTATTTCGATTATAGCTTAGAATCTCGAGGAAAGAAGAAATACTTGATGTTTTAGTATAAGACAACGAAGGCAAGGAAAATTTCGTTTCTATGCTATAAATAAAATTGATGTGATGCTATGACACCGAGCACTATTTCAAGTTCTTCAATATTACGATATCAGCGCTGTCATCAAATGTGTCTCACGATTGCTGAATCACGAAAACGATCAGAATATCGACCTAGATCAGTAATAAGCTTCTTACGTGCCTTGGACAAAATAATTTCTCCTGAGAGGAAAAATAATAATAAAAAAAAAAGTGATATTAGTAAACTCATAACTTTGCGTGTACGTAACTTACGAATGTTTCAAATACACATACGTTTATCGTTTCGATCATCAATGCATATTCTTTAAGACAATGTGCAAGCGTTCGTATTTAGATTCGTGTACGTATTTTTTGCACGAATATATGACAACACTGGATTGTTAATTACCTGTAGTAAAAACATCGAGTACTTCTTAAGTAACAAATTACAATTTTGCATCTTTTTTATAATAACTGTATATTAGTACAGTGGTCTGACTTGGAGGTCTCACAAAAAAACAAAAATGAATAAAAAAAGACGTCTAAGCTGGACCACCCCCACGAAAATTAAGTCCGGAATAGGTAAAAAATTTAGTGCTTTTTAAGTGCTAATTTAGTAGAATATTATTCCGAATTTTAGTGCTCAAACCGTTTAGCAGTAATAAAAAAAATGTGGAGTCCAGCTTAATGGTAAGTTGAACTCCTCATAAAAAAAACATATACAATGCACGTATACAAAAAATAAGTACACAGGGATTTTAATGCTAATTTAGTGTTCTAAAATAGAGTAAAAAAATTCAAATGTAGCATTAATTCAAATATTTCAATATGTATTAACAATACACCGTCGTATACGACGCCTATATTTAGAGAGCACTTGATACACATATTTTTAAAGTATTTACATAAAAAATAATGTAAATTTTATATATATTCGAAAGATAAGATTCAAATTTGTTACTAAAAAAAATAAAAAAAATACAAATAAATATAATAAACTCATTCCGATCGATGACGCCAAGGCTTAAATTTCATTAATTGCTTGTCAAAGAATTTGGTGCTCGCATGATTTTGGTATTAAAATAATCCTTAAACATTATAGTATCAAAATATTGTATATATATTTCCGATTTTAGTGCTAACTTAAGTGACTGAAAATATTTAAGAAGTTGCAAAAGAGCGCGCACCGCATCCTAAAGTTTGTTACCCGACCGTCAAAGATTTTGATGCTCGCATGATATTGATGTTAAAATAATTCTTAGACATGTCTTATTTTATAAGTTTTATCGATAGCTGGTGTATACCTTGACAATATTCAGAAGCAAAATTTTATAATACCTCATCCACCTTTATGATACTTCGGTCCTCATACAAGGGCCATTTGTATGAGGGCCATTGGTATGAGATCGGATCTGAGTGTTCTTATAAATTGCCTGGCGTTGTGTCTCTCTATATCTACGTTGCATTTGTCGGCCACTTGTCGAATCACATGAAGACACTTGGGTAATTTTTTCAATTTCAGTTTTTCGTATTCATTCTCAATCGTTATCGTCAAGACTACTTTTCTTCCTGAACCTCATCCGATTTGTTTTGAGAACCTTCAGTATCCGTTGAATCTTCTGATGGTCTATGCCCAGATGAGTCGGAATCCAAGACCATACCTTTCTTCATTAATTCCAATTGTTCCCTGAGAAATAAATTATCATAATATATTGTAATGCATACATATCGTTCTCTTACTTCAAAAGTGATACAATTCAAAAATTAAATTTCTTAAAAAAGGGAAAAAATTATTTTTTAACTTGACAGAGAGAGAGAGAGAGAGAGAGAGAGAGAGAGAGGAAATTATTGACTAATTATAAAGAATAAATCGAATTCTTAAATCGACTTATATCATTAAAATTATATTTTGTATTATATTCACATATTTCCACAATATTTTGTACTGTATAATATACTATTATTATCTAATACAAAAAAGAAAAATTTTAAGTAATTAACGGAACCAAGTGGTCGGCAATTATAATAAATCATCAGATTTTAATATTAATTACTTGTATTTCTTAATTAAATTTTTCAAATAATTTAACATTAATTATTTTACTAAATGATTCATTATCGTTGTGCTCACCTGTATGTTTTTGGTAATTGCCATATTGATATGTTACATTGATATCTTACATAAGATGCTCATTAGTTAAGCGGTCTTATGTTATGCTTATGTCTGTTATGCATTTCATGTATGACAGGCTTAAAGGTGCGTCACCTTGACAGAAAAGCAGAATTCAATAGGTGCATTCAGAAGCACGATCGCTCACTGAGCGTTCAATGAACACTTTTGTATCTGTTTGATCTATATTTTTAGTTCTAACGGAATACGCCAATCAGATGCAAGAGCTTATTGAGTGCTTAGTGAGTTCTTGTACTTGGTTTTTAGATCTAATGGAATATGCCAATTGGATGTAAAGCTTACTGAACGTACTTCTGAACTCACGTTATATCGTCATCTATTACCAGCGCGAGTTTTGATTGGCTTCTGCTTTTCTGTTTAGTGTAAATTCGCTCTGAAACCTGCGGCACGATGCTTGTTTTCCTGCTGGATTCCCTAGCTAGATTAAAATCTTGCCATCGTATTGACTGCGATATGCCATCTGATTTAATCTGTGCAATAAAATTAAAGATTAAAGAGCACGTATATATTTCATTCTGTATAAATGGCACAACAGATGTATGCACGTGTGCATTAAATTTTTTTTTATAAGTCTACAGTGTACAATTAGCCTCGATCTTTTAGATCGATTTCCACTCGATTCTTTAGTGGTCGATTTTTTGGTGAATCGATACTTATAGTTGCGATTCGGATCGATTAAAAAAATCAATTTTTTTGCCGAGATCAAGCATCCCTAGTATACACGTATTTTCTCTCTCTACACGGTGAAAATACTTTTCTTCTAGATCTTCAATCTTAATTCTACAAACTCGGTATTGTTCCTGTAATATGACCTCCGTTGCACGCTTATTTTTAACATATGGATTCTAAAACTCTTATCAAAATATATACCTGAGGTGTACAGCTATATAATCCAAAGGTAAATTTTGTAACTTTTTTTCGATTTT